TAAACCTCACAAAGCCATAACCTTTTGAGCAGCCAAAATTTGAATCAACAACCATTTTTACACCTTTGACCGATGGATATCTACTAGCAAAAGTTTCATGCAATAGCACATCAGTAACATCAGAAGCCAAATCACCAACAAATATTAATAAATCGGAGTCAGAGCCACCAAAGCCGCCAGAGCTAACAAAGCCAACAGAGCCAGCATCAGGCCGCCTATCACCCGAGCTAAAGGCTGCCCAGTTTAGGCAATATGTTTGATCTACATTTGGCATCATGGTACCATTGTAGCTCTGGAGTACTTTCTCAGCTGCTGCATGAGAACTGAACTCGACAAATCCATATCTATCCTAATGACCAGTCTGCTTATTACGAATAACTTTAACAGAAACAACCTGCATGTTTTGTTGATATCAAAAATGATCATGATCTAACAGAGTGCTAAACCTAAAATGAAATAGAACCAAGAGATATCCTTGGCACATGGTAGCATTTTCAGTAGTAATTTTATGATTCTACTACCACATATCAACCACGAAAGTGCAACGTCCATATTTTATGCAGAAAACGAAAGATGTAGAAAAAATATCGTGTCAATCTCATAGATCTCATTTTTTTTTATAGGTAATCGTGTAATTTTATAAATCAAAACCAAAAGTTAATACACAAGGAGTGCATTATCAGTTTAAACAAGAAAGAAATATTAAAAAATTAGGCAACCCTTCTATCGGACTAATAGACCTCCTTAATACGTCTTGACAACACTCAACTCATATGTTGCGAAGCCAGAACATATTTTCACAGCTAACGAACACCGCCACAATGAATGAACACGTGATCGATCGTCTCTTCATCCCTCTTACACATATAACACCACTCCGTAATATAACAACCCTTTTTTCGAAGATTATCCGCCGTTAACACCTGTCCCCTCACAACCATCCATAGTAAAATCACCACCTTTGGAGGTAATTTACTTTGCCAAACACTTTTCCAGGGGAATGAACTCTCAACAGGCTCCAATAAGGATCTGAAATAAGTACGAACAGAGAACAAGTCATTCTGTGCCACCCTCCACCTGCATCAGTCATCCTCTCCTATCTGAATGTGCGCCTCATAAAGAGAAGCAAAAAACAATGCATAATCATCCAACTCCCAGTCATGTAAGCCCCTCCCGAAAGC